CCATTCTATGTATATATAGAAAATACCATCCTAAGCCTTATATTGCATTCACCGACTTTAATTTCAGTATATTGTTAAAATATTCACGAAGGGAAACTAGAAACGTTTTTAAATAATCTAAGGAAGTTCAAACATTCACAAAAGAATTTCTGTACAGAACGAACTAAATTTGAGATTAAAAACAGCTGCAAACATCCAATTTTCTTATTGTTGTCCTTTTGTAATACAGTATATTGCGTCTTCATTCAACATTAATAATTCATACCCAAATTGAGAAATCACTTATAATAATCTTTGATGAATATTTAATACAGGCTTCGGGAGCGCAAGGTAGATAAAAATGGTGCTCTTTTAACCGTATCCGATCTTTCCTATCAATTCCTTTTATTGTACGGCTTTAAAATTTCTCCTTTAACATACGAAATTGACTCTGATTTCTGAATGCTTACAAGTATATATACGGGCGTCATGTAATGCCGTAAATTTCCTCACAAAGCCCTAAAAAGATTTATAGATTATCACAGTCTACCATTATATATTTTTAGAAGTTAAATTTATGTGAAAAGATTACGAGGAGAATGTATATATGGAAGTGTTATGTGCGAAATTTGGGGATGCGCGCTCAATATTGTGATTAGTGAAAACGTCGGCCGTTCTCAGAGAAATGTAAAGCCCCCAAAATGTTGCTTAATTCGCATTTTATATCGCAGTAAACCTGCTTTTGTTAAACAAAATTACCCCTTATTCAGCTAGGACGGTGGTAAAGGTTAGCAGTAAATTTAACTGCCACCTTGGAAGTTAAATTTACTGCTAGATTCTAACTTTGAGTCTACCTATCCTGCAAGATAACGCCGCTGTGTAAACACATTTCGGAGTATTTGCACTTTGGGCACACATTTGAAGCCCTTTGTGGTTTCGTTATATCAGAATTTCACACGTTTCAGATACCTAACGGGCTGCATTTGCATAATATTTATGCATAATCCATACGACCGATGCTATCGCAGCGTTCGCCGCCGCCGCCCGCCGTATGAAATCTTAATGTCAAATTTGAGCTAGCTTTAATATGCCGGTAAAGTTTTTAACTGTCTCAACCATCGCTTGGGCGGCATTTAAGTGGATCAAAGGGGGGGGGGGGCTTATGTACTTATGCTCGCTACGTGTAGGTACTCCAATTAAGATTTTTCCGAGCCGGATGTATAAGAAACCTAGTAAAACGATCGCAAGTTGAAATTACACAAAGAAACAGCTGTTTAAAGGAAAAGTAAAGGGTATTGGTGGAGGATTGGCAAGGCAAAAGAGAAACCGGGGTGCGGCTGCCTCGCCCTCTACCGGGCCAGTATCGATCCTTTCAACCCAAAAACAGCAGTAACAACACCCTCTCGCAACTTCAGTTATGAAAGAAAATTACGAAAAGAAAGAAGTTAGAGGTCACCATTTCTATGGATCGACCATTATTGCCGATATTAAAATGCGGAATTACGGCACAAAAGAATTTTCGCTTTAATCGTAATTAATAATTTTAGCGTTTCGAGCGTTTTAGGCGACTAAATAATAAAATCGTTTCTGTATTCCATTCAAGTGAAGAAGGAAGTGATCCTGAATTATTAATGAAAGAGAGATAGGTGGTTAAAATTTACATTTTCAATCGCTTTAACGCACGGGCCATTCTATGCAATATTTAATTTGATTTTAATACTTTAATTTACAACTTGTTTACGAGAAGTTTAATGAATAAGGTAGGGTTCTATTTACGTTGACGTTTCGGGTAGATACTACTGTTCTTGTTCCACATTTCAATGTAACTATATTGCGTTTATACGTTATCGGTCCCACTGGTCCAGTAAATTATAAGTTTTTGAATACGTGTAGATAAATTAACCCCTGTAGCCTACTCAATTTAGAATTGGTCGCCTAGCGAAAATATTTACCTGTATTAATTATATGACGCAGCATGAACCGGCGAGATAGTAGGGTCCACATCTAAAAGACTAGTGCTGGAAAAAGAAGTTCAGTTCCCATTTGCGTTAAATCAAATTAACAATGGAGTGTCGTTTTAACAGCGATATTTTTATAACACTGGCCGTAAAATATTGGCAGAGTGAGGTCGCTCATTTAAGGTACTACTGTCAGTTTTGGGACAACGAAACAAAAGTTTGGTGCAATGCGCGGCTGGAAATGTAAAGGGGGAATTTTTTGTTATAATAGGTGATCAGTCAATGCTAAACTAAACACGATTTAATGGGGCGCATTTTTGGCTATAATGAGAGTTGAATGAGTGAATGCTATGTTGTTTTATAGGGCATTACCACGAACCTTTATCGTTACAATACACTTTGTGCCTTCGCTAGCTTTATAAACATCAGTGTTAAGAAGGATCTCTGTTTTCTTGTACATTTTTTTTTTCATCTCGATCCTAATAAATTCATGATATTTCGCAGCAGCGAGAAGGGGTAGTCGATTAAAATGGAATGCATATTGTGCAAGTGCAATATATAATTCTACTCGTTTTTTAACCGACCTTCAAATTCCGTACTACCATTGAGTAATTAAGATACTTTCTTGATCCATTACACTCTAGTCTCTACTAAAAACGACATAAATGGTCCAGGAAATAGAGACTAAAAATTGACTATTTCCTGCAAAGCAAGAAGTAGTTCCAATTTTTTTTGCATGTCTTGGAGAATCAATCATCTGGTGGTTAAGAATCTAAGTTTTCCACCTCCCACCGCTTGTGCTTCCCCCGTTCCACCCCTAATACCTACCCCAGAAATTTAGTTGGTTTTTTAGTTTTTAAATCATTTTTTTAAGGGTTGACTTTAGAAAAACATATGATATACCATTAAATTTTACACAAATTTGATATACCTATACTTCTTTTTGTGAAATGTTTATTTCAAAAGATATAGATCTTTAAAGTGGTGTATATGTATTTTAAAAATTCTAAAATTTCTACTTATGTATTTTGACGAAATTTTATACTTGATCACTATACTTATAAGAGTTGTGCGAGAGAATACCTAGAATGTAGTGTTATGGTGCTATTAATTTCCGTACCCTGTCCCCTATGGATGATCGCAACTCAACCCCTTAGTGATGGTAGGTATTTGAATCACTGTGTGATTGTGGCGCTTTTGGCTACAATTATCAAATAAGAAAAGTGGTCTTACTTCAGCTTAACCCCTTCGATCCCCTATAATAATTTTCTTCTTGTTTCATATTTGGTGGTAGTGTTAGTGGCGTTGTGAAACTTGTGAACGGGAGAGCTATCAAAACTCTACTAGAAGCTAGTGTAAAACAAAATGAAGTCAACCATAAACAATACTTAAAGAACTTAAAATAAGTGAGTGTACATGTTTTTTTTGTAAAAATAATACACAATTGATAAATTAATCAAGGCATATCTTCGTCCTGTTCCGAAATGCGAAACTTCATTTCTGAAAACTCGATCTGCAATTCATACATTCACTTTTAAAAATCATTGCTTTTCTTTAATGAAGAAATCACAAATAATTTTATGGAGCGTAGGAATTACCTATCTCGACAACAACAATTGTGTATTCTGTTCAGACGGAAAGCTCACAAAAGTCAGTCCCTCTAAGCCCTAAGGGCGGTATATCAAAATAGAAAAAAGATCCTGTGAAAGAACGCTTGCGGTTTGGTTAAAGATGCTGCGTATTATCCACCGTCAGGTCAATTTTTATGTGATTTAGAAGATGTGATACCCCCAGGGATACCCCAGACTTTATTAACATTTTTCCAAACAGTGCTCATGCTCATGACTAGTAAAAAATGGTCCCTAAGCAAATTGAGAAAACAATGCCATGTCCTAAGGCATGCAGTGATTTTAGCAGCAAGAGCTTGTTCATGTTTCTCGTCCCGACTTACAGGAGTATGTGTGTATTTATTTATACAGGGTGCCCATTATGTATGGAATATGGTATACAGGGTGAATATTCCCAAACCGAACATAGGGAATTAACATGGGAAAAAGGTTTTTTGTAGATAGTTGCTCCCCATGTTAACTTAGAGGATTTATAAT